TAAGTGGACTAATGTAACAACTGACTGCCTGATTAGTGAGGTAATATAGATGATACAGATTTTTTTGATAATTGTGTAGTTTTGTAGTTTAATGAACTGTCTTATGGTTATGTGCTGCACTAAACATGAACATTTTCAGTAGATTGGGATCTGGATGGGTACACATTATTTTTAAAGGAACAGTTCACCCAAAAATGAAAATTAGCTGAAAATGTACTCACCCTCAAGCCATCCATGATCCCCATTGGAACAAATTTGGAGAAATTTAGGATTACAGAACTTGCACACCATGATCCTCTTAAGTGAATGGGTGCCGTCAGAATGTGATGTTTTATCAGCTGTTTGAAATCTCAATAATTCACAAGTAATCCATACAACTCCAGTCCAGACCAATTATCGTCTTCTGAATTCTGACGGCACCCATTCACTTCAGAGGATCCGATGGTGAGCAAGTGTTGTAATGCTAAATTTCTAAAAAAAATCAGTTCAGATGAATAAAAAAAAAAACGAATCTACATTTTGGATAGCCTGAGGGTGAGTAAATTTACATCTTTGAGAATACCATTCCTTTAACTAGACCAAAACAAACAGTGCAACAGAGTGTGCCCACATTTCAGCTGCCTTGGCTCTGGAAGTATTTTTCCAATACTTTCTAATTGTCTAATTAAAATATAATAATTAATTAAAATATAATAATTAATACATATGTAGTAATATAATTTTAACCAGGAATTCCACTGCTAAACACAATTATTTAAAAAAAGTAAATAAATAAAAAGCTGAAATAACGCAGGCCTTGGCGAAAATGAACAGGATTTTTACTTTAGAAAACTGGTTTGCTGGTCCTCAAATTAATGCTCAATATTCCGTTACAAAATACAAAGAGAAAGCATAGAGAGTGGATCACCGCACGAGTCCTGCCGAGCGGAGTTACAAACCAAAGTTGGTGGTAATTAACTGAAATCAAATAATTTGTTCTATCAAAGTACATTAAGATAAAAGCAATTCAAATGAAATCAAACCACGTTAAATCCTTTTGAATGCCTTTCTCCTGAAAGAGGCACAGATGATGAATTAGGCTCCTGTATGGGTTTTTAAAACATTCCAGCATCAGCCTCTCAGCCCTATTGCTTCATGCCAGGTGGCAGCTGGGAGAGCTGCCTTTTAATCTGGTTTGGCGGTCCTAAATCACTGCCACAACAGCAGTCATGATGTAGGGGATTTTGGAAGAGACATTCACTCAGACGCTCCTCTGGCCATGGGTTGGGCTCTGTCTCTCTCCCCAGGTGTGTGGCCTTGTTTGCCATATGTCAAGTGAGTGAACCACTAATATCCACAGGGCACCTACAGGAGCCTGCCCAAAAACAAATTTTTATTTACGTGGTATGACATTGAAAACCAGAGTCAGTCACATAGGCTGAAAGAACCTTTGGTCATACTTCATGCTTCGGTCATGATTGTTATTATGATGCTTTTTAAAGATTCAACAGATTCAACCTCATGGGGGTGCCCAACTACTTGTTCTGGCTGTCACACTGATAGGCATACTTTAGCCCCAGGATAAAACTGTCTCGCAGACTGTCGAATCTCTTCAGCTCTGGTCTGCAGCACTGTCTTCATACATGAGTCTAGCATTACTTTTAACCCTTCTAAACATTTATGCCATTTCTAAGGATGCTGAGTCCTCTTTAATAAAATGAAAGCCAAATCCCTCTAAGTGGCTCAAAAAGTGAACAGAGTTAAAAAGTACCCAGTTCTTTAGTATTCACACAGTCTCAGGTCTCTTCTCACATTACCATTCATGCATTTAGCAGATGCTTTTATCAAAAGCAACTAACAACAGAACATTTGGTTTTGGTGTTGGCTTAACTTTAAGCAGTTTTTTCTTCGCTCAAAATATCATATTTTTACATTATTTTTAGTTTTGAGAAAATGTATGCATTCCATAATTTTAATATAAAACTATATCTTGATATATACACAACTGTTCAAAAGTAAGATTTTGTAATACTCTCGAAATACATTTTGTAAGCTCACCAATTTATTTGATCAAAAATACAGTAAAAACATATGATAAATATATAAATATTATAAAATATATATAAAACAATATTGTGAAACATTATTACAATTTAAACTAACTGTTTTCTAATTTAATATATTTTAAAATGTAATTTATTCCTGTTTAAATTCTGTAATAATTTTCTCACCCTCACATTTTATCAATGACTTAATTTTTTTTTATTTTTGCCATAATGGAAGTCAATGGTAACTGCTTACAAACATTATTCAAAAAAATTTCTTCAGTGTTCCACAGAAAAGAAGTTTATACAGGTTTGGAACGACATGAAGGAGCATTTATGATGTCAATTTTCATTTTTGGGTAAACTATCCATTTAAATCAAATTGTATAAAAGTTAGTCAGATCCTCACTGATGAACAAATTGTCTTATAAAGAACAGATCTGTTCACTTGGTAGGCTACATTATACTGTATGATTCTCTGACTGAAATAATTATTTGCAATATTTGTCATAATATGCAAAGAGAGAAAAAATAATTTAATTTTTTGTCAGAGAAAAATTTTTTCCATTTATGTATCCATCAATCCATCCATCCTCCAAACTGTTTGGAATGGACTATGCAGGGAAACACAATGGATGGCCAGTCCATCACAGGGCTGACAAAAATATTTACTTTTTTAATAAAAAAAGCAAAACAGCTTAATGTAAGATATATTTAAGGCTGGACAATTCTCAATTTAAACTGGCAAAAAGTTAATTTTGGACCCTGCAGACCGGATGGAAAACCCTATGGTACAATAAAACATCTTGACCGTCTCCATTAGCTTGCACAGTGCTGGTTTCAGCATGTCAACATAAAATACAGATGCGCATGATGTCATAGGCCAGCAAATTACCTGTGCGTTGCAGGATTAGCTCCAACAGTAATGCTCAGCCAACCACTCGATCTGTCAAAGGTCAGAACACCTAATGACTCAGCTAAATGTGTGGCCAACTTCAACTGAACTTCAATCGGATCAAATGGGGCGTGCAATAGAACGCCAACAAAAACAATGAAGCGTAAACTATATTAAAAGAAGATATTCAAGGGGTACTATAGGTGCTTCAACACTTGCAGCCATGTTGAATTTATGTTGTCATAAATAAAAAAAAACATGACATATAAAGTGGGCAGTCATGTTGAATTATGTTTAAGGGTCAAAGGTAAATTATTTATGATGGTTTAGATGTAACATAAATTATATTAAAAGAAGATATTCAAGGGGTACTATAGGTGCTTCAACACTTGCAGCCATGTTGAATTTATGTTGTCATAAATAAAAAAAAACGACATATAAAGTGGGCGGTCATGTTGAATTATGTTTAAGGGTCAAAGGTAAATTATTTATGATGGTTTAGATGTAACACCCTGAATGGTTTAAAATGTCTTTTAAAGAACTGTCGACTATAGTGAATGTCATGCAACTAAGGGTCAAGTTACATAAAATATGGATGTTAAAATATATGCTTTTTAAATAACTGATCAAATTATGATACACTATTACCTGTTGTTGTTGTTTTTTTAAATCATAAATCTTGTTGTTATGCGAAAGGCAACAGAGCTGCAAAACTCTGCAGAGACCTTCTTTGTTTACAAACGCTGTTTTTGGTTATAAAAGACAACCTTGCAATAACTGCCTAGTTGTACTTTATATTGTGTATGCATTCAGATATGATACTTGAAACCAGAATCTCTTTTTCATCTCACGTCTACAATTGAGAGCACAAGGGGAAAACAATCTTGACAGATTTGTCTGTGCTACAAGCCGACAATCTTTGCTTTATCTCAATCCGACGGTAAACAGGGATTTGCAGCAAGTGAACAAAACCCCTGCAACTAGTTCAAGACTCACTGATCCCTACATCAAGATTCATTAAATATCTGCCCTTATTGATTTAGATTTTTCTGAAAGTGTCACTCACAAATGCCACTCTTCAGCCAAAAGCTTACATTATATAAGGAAGACACTGTGATATCCGAGAAACTTGTAACATTCACAATTAGTGGTTAGAAGTTGCCAGACCTTTATGATATAACAATACACTGGCTATGTTTCAAACATTACAGGATGGCAAATACATTTTGTTGCTGAAAATAACAAAGATGGTCCAACAGAAGGTCGCATGATGATTTCATTTGAGTTCAACTCAAAATGGTCTTTTTCAGAAACTACTGACAAATAATAAAATAGACAGAGCACTGACACCCATTCAAACATAAAAACCCAATTAGGGTAACACACGACACTAAAGTAATGCAATAAACTCTTCCTAAATCTTCCTAGTGCAACATAATTCACGCCAATGAGGATAAGTGATAACAAAAATAAGAGCAAACTGACTTAATGCAAGGAATTCTAGAAATATGATACAAATTATAAGAAGTCTCATACTAATAACAACCATTCAATCGTTATTTTACAGTTTAAATATATGCACTGGTAAATGTAGCCTGCATTTCTTAGTAAATAAGCCAATTCATATGTTTTAAGACTTGCAAAGAATACTAAAATATGTAGCCTATTTAAAAAGTCATTTGTATCGAACAAATTCTTATATTCGTGTTTCATTCCCACAATATATCATAGTTCTATATCATCCTCCAACATGCCATATATTTCCGTCTCAATATGATTATGATGGCTTGAGCCTATTCATACTCTTTTGGTTCCATCCAAGCACACCACTGGTACACTCCACCAGTAGACACTACCTACAGGGAATTGAATTACACCATCGACTACTACAACACGCGAGTGAAACATTCCAACCTCAACCTGACTATTTCTCAATTCACTTCAATGCAACATCTCGGGAAAAATGCTCGCGTCGCATCAAAAACGTGCAGCGAGATCAGGCGCGCGGCGAGATGCGCTGACAGATTATAAAATGCTCCGCGAGCGCAAGTTTGATTGTGGAGCTGCTGCGTCTGCCTTACCTTGCTCCGAATCAGCGTCCCTCAGTGTCTGAACATTTGAGAATATATCCCCGAATCCCAGTATGATGAGTAAAGTGAGGATATATTCGGACATCGTTGCTGAGTGAGGGCGAAGGCCACCGCACTTCTTTTACTGAAGTCCGATTCCAGCCCTCCGGTACAGCGCCGTTATTCAGGAATGACAAGTGAAATTTGTCTGCAGAGCGCACCGACCCTCCTTCACTCCTCGCATTCAGATGGATTTCTAGGCGCGCGCACACACATGAGCTTGCAGGCGACAGTGTGAGCGGAGAGAGAGAGAGACGGAGGGTGTGCGGATAGATGGGGACAATAACGCACTGTGAGCTTGACTTTGATCGGTTTCCAGGCACCTGACGTAGCGCAAGGAAAGCAGGGGTCTGTAACATGGGAAATGCGCTAATTAAGCAAAAAAGAAAATAATAATAATGTGTTTTTGCAAATGTGTCAAATGTACTGGTTTGGTGAGGTAGCTCAAGGAACATAATAGTGGTGCGCAATGCGCGAATTGTTCGATAACTTTAATGGGAGTCAACTTTTAAAAACGCAGCGATCTTTTTTTTATTATTATTATCGCTGCGCAATTTGTCGTCGAGTCATCTAGCGCAAAGCGCATTTGTGTTTTGGCAGCCTAGCACGTTAATCTGTTCACTATCTTAAAGATGTTTTAATCAAAGTACAAAGTTTTCTGCAATATAAATCCAAAATAACCTGACAAATAATAGCAATGTTTGTTTCGTCGTCCGATAAGCGTAGGCTACCTTCGCGAGCATCATCTGAGTGAAAATACCCGCTCTACATTACTGTCAGGTTTGAGCATCCCACTAAAATAATGTGTAAACCCTCTGAAACTAAACCTGGTTTGTTTAGGCCAGATTATTGGTTTTAGGTTTTATTTGCGGTTGTCATCTTCTGAAACTCGCCCCCTGCTGATAAGGAGCGCTAAATGCCGTCATCAAACTATGAAATTCTGAATATAGAAACATAAAATGCGGAACAATGATAAAAAAAATTATAACCCTGGTTATTGAATTTATATTCCGTTCACAAAAAGGCAGGACTGACCAGAGAAACTCATAAATTGTTTAAGGTCAGTGAAACTGCATATTAAAGGGCTGCCCTTTAACACTACTGACATATTTACACAAGCTTTTCCATGTAGGCTTATAATAAGCAATAACAGCCCAAGGCAAATTCGATTTCACACTGGATCCCGGTGCTATGTTGATAGTAGATTGCAATATAGATAAAATATAGTCAAAAACTGAGCCAAAATGGTCAGTTCTAAGGATAAACATTCCCTCTAAACAAAAAAGAAATATTTAGTTGCTGCCCTTGTGTATACCTGCCAATTGAACATTTTAAATCATACATTACCTTCATACATTTAGGCTATATATTCATAAAATACATATTCACAACAAGGTCAGATAATATGATAGGAGAATATTTGCAGTTTGTAATAAGGGTATAACAGTCACGAAGTATTTATTTAAGGGATAACATACAGGTAATTGGTGAAAATGACTCACCCTCACGTTATTCCAAACCTGTATGAGTTTCTGTCTTGTGTGAAACATAAAATAAGATATTTTGAAGAATGATGGTAATCAAACAGTTGGTGGTAGCCACTGACTTCCATAGTAAGGAATAAAAAAAACATGAAAGTCGATGGCTAGCGCCAACTGTTTGGTCACCAACATTCTTCAAATTATCTTTTGTGTATGTTTGTTAAAGGGGATAAAGAAATTCATACAGGTTTGGAACAACATGAGGGTGAGTAAATGATTACTTTTTTTTTTTTTTTGCGTGTACTATCCCTTTAACACAAAATAAAACCTGGCAGGGTGATCAGAATACTGTATTGTGATAATGACCAAATGACTTTACATTACACTACTATTTACCAAATAAATTAATATGAAATAATATAATTTGAGTTTATTTATTTATTTGTGTTATGTAAGAAGAGACTAGTGGTGATCAACCTGTCGGTGTTTAATTAAAACAAAAATGGCCATCTGACTGTATGTTATCTCACTTAACAACAAATACACATGAAATATTGAATTTAAATTATTTTATCTTTAGACAGCAGAGTATATGCATTGCTAGGAAACATGGCTTACTTTGAAGACACCCCAACATGCTGTGACTTTCTGAATGATAAATCAGTGTTTCGTGTGTCTGTCTGTTTGTGCTCCAGTGGTCATGGCTACATGTGAAGATGCTGCAGACATCTATTGAAGATTGTGTTTTCGGTACACAGAATGCAAGGTCTGCCGTAGACTGCCCACACATTCACAGCCACTGGCTCGCTCCAGGGAAAGCACTTGTGCCTGCGCAGCAGTGACCCCCTCCAAAGCATAAGCAGTACGGAGGCTTTCAGGATGAAACTTCCTTTATGAACAGCACTCATTTTTTTCTTGAGCATAGTCACAGCTGTGTTTGGCAAAAAGCTTTCATATCCTTGCATTGAATTCAGTACCTTCTCCGCTTCGAACCTCTATATATTCTGATGCAACCATGTGAAGACGAATAACTGAGATAGCAAGTAAACATGTTGTATGTGTAAAAATGAAGGTGTTGTTGCACCGTTGAAAATTTTGTTTTTTAAAATAAGGCAACAGGCTTTTTTTCAAATTAATTTACTTCAACAAATGCTCAATACATTTAATGCTCAAACACTCAAATACATTTAGACAATCTGATTTTTGTAGAAGAAAAACAGCACAAAAACACAACTTATGTTACATCAAAAAAACTGCAGTGTAGATAAAATAAGCAAACTGTTGAACAATGCAACCGTTTGTTTATTTATTTATGGCCCAGTGCATGCTGGGAAGACAAGAAAAGCTAATGGGATTGAACCACAAAACCATTTTTTGTTCTGTTATACCTCTTTGATCTCATCATAATTCCAAATTGACTGCTACACCTGTTGATTCAAAAAAGCTGTGTTTATAAGAAACAAATGCATCATTTAGACGTTTTAACTTCGCTTCTGGTCAAAATAACCCTTCCTCCAGCGAAAATGTCCATTCTCCATTGTCCTTTCACAGCATACTTGTTTATATGGTGTGTAACTCTTATGGACTGTTTTCCCTTGTAAACGGTTGCATATTTCTCTCCTGATTCAAATGAGATGGCTTTTTTTGGTGAAAGCAATATTATGGATAGAGGACTCTTTTGTGCAGCTTCTCACTTCACAAGAGATTAACTGATTGACTAGAGTTGTGTGGATGACTTTTGGTTTCGATGAACAAACAAACAAACCTAAGGGTGAGTAAATCTTCAGCAAATTTTCATTTTGGGTGAACAATTCCTTTAAGCAAACCAAAACATTTAATAATGGAGTCTATCTTTGGTTATTTTTCAGCATCATTAACTGGATCTAACAATTATTTCTTATAGTGGAGTCTCACATACGTTGCTGTTGTTATCTGTGGAGCATTCAGTTGTGTGCCCTTTGTTTTTTTTGGAGCTATAATAAAGTGCTGAGGTCCAGTGTGGAGTAATTCAGCTTCTTCTCAAAATGGTCGGCCCTTTCTTAAAGGTCAGTAATTAAAAGGATTGCAGTTTCTCCAAGTTAAACAAGGCCCAGTGTCAAGCAGCTATATTGTTAAGACTCCAGGGAGAGAAGGTATCAAAGTCTTACCATCAGTAATTAAATAATTGCATGTCAGTGATTCAAACCTCATTAAAAATGTTGCTCTGGCTTCATTATGAAGGTTGCATATTTTTGACACACAAATCTGAAAAATGCACTAATTGTTATGGCATACTACAACTGAACTAAACTGTCAGCTATAACTAGTCATATAATGATGGAAGCCTAAATCTGGGCATTGCAACATGAGTGATCAATATTTCTGCTCTGTTGACTACATTTTAAGAGTATATATATTTTTTGTTTATTATGCTTATTTTGTACAATTTCACAGTTTGGGGTTAGTAAGTGTTTTTTTGTTTTTTGTTTTTTTAAAGAAACATAACATTTATTTAACAGGGTTGATCAAAAGTGACAGTAAAGACATTTCTAATGTTACAAAATATTTCAATTTGAAATATACATCCTGCTCTGTATTTGTCAAATAATTCTACAAAATGTATCATGGTTTCCATAAACATTAAGCAATACAAGTGTTTTAACATTGATAATAATAATATTTTTTTCTTGAGCAGCAAATCAGTATATTAGAATGATTTCTGAATGATCACTGAAGACTGGAGTAATGGCTTCTAAAAAATATTTGCTTCATCATAGGAATAAATTACATTTTAAAATATATTAAAATGGAAACTGTTATTTTAAATTGTAATAATATTTAACTATATTACTGTTTGACTATTTCTGATCAAATAAATGTAGCCTTGGTGAGCAACTCTGAACCACTGAACATTAGTGCATATTTAGTTATTTTGTCAACAATTAGGAGTACACTAGCACAGTTAATCTTAAAGCTGACACACACACACACTTTAATTTTTATTTTCTGATGTCTTTAAGGGTATAATGGACTATTAGTTGTGTAATGACTTGTGTGTCATGATAAAATAAAATTTCTTGATTGCAAGATTAAATGACGTCATCTGCATTCTCCATGCCATGATGTTCTGACGCCACTGTTTAGCATCAATGAATATTCTGTCATGCTGGGATTTGCATCACCATTCCATGCACTCTCTCAGTCTATCTTCTCAACTTTAACCTTAATTAGCAAGACAGGAACACCGAGAGAATGGTGAATGCAAAAATGCGAAGCCCTTGTACTAATAATTATTCTAGCGACGTCGTGGAGGGTTTTGGCCCTGTCAATAGCTGTGATGCTCACAGCAAACCTCCTGGTCCTGCTGAAGTTCCACAGGCCCACTGGCACATGTGTGAACATGACACCTCAGTGCCCCGCTGACATCACACCCATGTTTAATCAGGACCCTCTGTGAATTTTGGTACACACACACACATTTGCGGGGGCAATGTGCAATAATACAACATATACGCTAATACAGACTGCACCTTGTTTTTTTATGATCTGAAGTTGTGTATTTTAAACTAGAGTTTGAAAAAGAATGCAAAACGTATATAGATACTAAGCCAAAAATACTAAATACTAGTGCTGTCAAACGATTAATCACAATTAATTGCATTCAAAATAAAAGTTTTGTGCTGTGTATATTTATTATGTATATATA